GGAAAGTAATAGAGTAAGTAGATAGATTTTGCTATCTGGGCAGCTACATCTCACCCGGTGGACGTAGCACGGATGAAGTGTCAGCTCGCATACAGAAGGCTCGATTGACATTTGGTAAGTTGATACATCTGTGGCGCCGTCGCGACATCCAGGTGTCTTTTAAGGGTCGAGTGTGTGCTGCATCAGGTCGGCCAGTTCTTCTATATGGAGATGAAATTTGTCCATTTGGAAAACAAGATAAAGATAAACTGTCGATGTTTCAACACCGCTATCTACGCAGCATTGCACGAATCTGGTGGGGCAGCCGGACGAGCAATGTTGAGGTCAGGAGCAGAGTTTAAGGCAACCGTGATCATTCACTGGAACAAGTGGTCAACATCCATAGAGTACGTTGGTTGAGGCAACTGTTACGCATGTCACCAGATAGGTGGCCATCGTGAGTGATGATCGACGAAGCAGGTAGTGGTAGGACAAAAGACATGGGTGGTCAAGCTAAGACCTAGCATGAGAGTATGAAAACCCTAACCGGGAGATTGGGTCCTGTTAGGCTCCCTGGATGGGGACCTCGGGTTGATCGTACCCGATGGTTAGAGACACTCAATGATGCGACTGAGTGTCATAAACAGTGGCGTTCGTGCATTTTCTCATTCCTGTCTTGAACACTAGTCCATTGAAATTCTAAATTTTTTCTTCGATCCTAATTTCCAAATTTCCTGTTTTCCTGCTGTTGTTCATCCAAATGGGCAGCCAAAGGACAGCAACCAAAACCGGCGCACGATAGTGTATGCTCAATGGTTTTACAAACTGAAACTGAAATCTAATGAATATTTCACCCCAAAACAAAGCAATCACTGTGAAATTCGAATACGAATTGGGGATCTGTATAGATTGCTACTTAGTTGTATATGCAACATATTACTGAAATTTCCGGACGAAATTTATCGCTGAAACAGATGGGAGTAGCAATCGGGTTTCGCCTTGGTTGCTTTGATATATTCTTGTTCCGAGGGCGCAAGACAAGATCAAATCCCTGAAATGATTTCCTTATATAGAACCTGTGGCAGACGCATAATTTCCTTCGGGGTTATCTCGACATGCTTATGAATAGTTAACCAGATTAACATTAGTAGTAAGGACCAGAGAGAGAACAGATTAAACACACTCTTTAGAATCCTGGGGAAAATGATGTTCGCGCGAGCCCCTAGCGTACCGGGGTCGAGTAGACGGAACAATGAGGCGGACATAGTTAAATGCGGAAAAATATAAGCAACTTTGTCGCACTCTCGTGATAGTGTAGGTGCGACGCTGACATGATGGTGAGTGTGCCTCAAATGAACAACAATGAGAACGACCAAAACAAACGAGTGGGAGTTAATCAATCCGATCCTTATTTCTGAGGCAAACTTTTCCCGGAAAGACGAGGAGGTGCCATTCATAGCGGCAGTAAAAATTGAGCACCTACTTGAAACTGGCTGCATGTTGTCGAATCCGAGCCAGACGGCGTACCGGTGTGCTTAGCTGCGAAACCTGACCGCTGGAAATCGGTCCGTCCGACGTGCGACTGACTGAGGAATGGAGCGAGTCAGCCGGGCCAGTCGCACCGCAACTGGCCGAACGACGCAGGCGACGCACGGAGGATAGTGAACCCG